TACATAGTAGAATTGAAAATATTATCGGCAGTCTAAATTATTAATGGTGTTTGAGTCATTACATCTTGAATTGAAAACTAGAAATAGTACAAAGTCAAACGTAGCTTCACTAAACGAACCTTCTAAATCGCATCTGTCATGGCTTGGTTTAATTTATGTTTTTATATTTACTTTCTACTTATAGCATTTATTTTACAGACGTAAATACCAATTAGAGCACGATGGGTCATAGTGGTTGTTTCAGGTGTATCTGTGGGTTTTGGTTGTGGAATTGAAACCTTTAGGTTTATGAAATTTTCTAAGTCAAATTTTGAGTCATAATTTTGTTAGTCAAAATTTGTTCTGAACTGTTCGCCCAATGGCAAATTGGCTCCAGTAAATTAAGCCTGGTTTCCATATGACGCCACAGTCGGGGAGTTCAGTGTCGGTGATTACTCAGGAGTAAAATCCTTTGTATATCTGAAATCATTTTCTTCTTCAATGACTACCGACAATGAGTCGGCGGCTGGTCGGCGTCATATGGAAACCAGGCTTAAGGATCGTTTCTTATTCACCCAGTGTTACTGAGGAAGGAAGCTGGACCTTAGCTTGTCAATATTTTAATTTGTTTCCTACTGAACGGATGTGGAATTTTTATGTGAAGTATGAAATTTTATGTTTTTCAAACGCCAATTTCTGCATATTGTCTCCGTATTAACTTGTATTTACCCTTTCCACATTTGGGGATTTTTTAATCAAAATTCCACCTCATCCCTCGATTCTGTATTAACCGTTGTATTATTAACACTGGGTGATTTACTCTGTGAATTCAATGCTAGGTAAAGGTTAACTAATAAAATACAACCACAAATTAGCACAAAAAGCACAATGCTTTATACTATTACGAGATTGGTTGTTGTATGCAGTGTACAAAAGTGGGTTTTTTTTATAATATCATGTCTGGCGATCGATTTACAAATTGCCACACGGAGATCAATTTTCAAACACAGAGACGTTTGTGAGCGATAGGTTCGAGAGAAAAGACCGAAACAAAGATTATGATCACTTTATTCATTAATGCTACTTGACCATGCACCGAAGCATCTCACCCAAGTCAGTTTCATTTGAATGCATGAACTTTGTAGATGTGATGTCATGCGTGTGATAGAACTAATTGTTAATTGAAACTTTTGAAGGCTTTTGTTCGTGGAAATTTCGAGTGTAAATTTTATATATTAGACCCACATGGTTAGGTATTTGCATCCATATCAATCCGAAGATTTCATCACTCGAATTGTTCATCAACAAAGCCCTTGGCCAAAATTATGCATGTCATCCACCAGTGGGCACTCAAGGACCGAAGAACCGCTATTGACTAGCTTGCTTTCATAGTCAGAAGACACACACCGGATACTGTTTGTCCCGCGAAGAACTAATTTCCTGAAACGCGTTGAGAGAACAAGACTGAATTCTCCACAAGGACAGTTTAGGTATGTTTCTCCTACAATGTCAATCATCTTTTTTATTGCTAGAGTTAGCGCTTTAAGCCTCAGTCAAACAAGGATGATAGTTGATTACGAGTTTTTTACGAGGGACGCGTATTCAGTTCAAGCTTCAGACTGCCGTAAAAATAAGGGTTTGGTGAATGTTGCAAAGTTAACTTAAATAAAGTACATGATAGTTTTGAGAAAGCATTAGAAAGACTTAACCAAGGTCGCGTGACTGGCAACTCTCACGCACTCACTCTCATGTCTCTCATCTTCATTGGAAGATGTGATCATCAACAATAGCATTTTACTCTAAGAGAAAGGCGATTCTAAATTGTATTCCTTTGAGCATTCTAGTGAATATAGTAAGCCGTAGTTAAAACTGCTACGTTATTTACGTTCATCATTTCCATGGCTCATAACTACCGCCAACAGTCAAAACGTTCGAAGTCGTGTGGGGTGCATGTTTCATGTCGGAATTCACTGACTATATGAATAAGGGGTTGTTTAAAAGAAAGATACGTGACTTTGAAGACGAGAAAATAAAGGTTAGTAATGTATATGCTTTAGTTCACATAAAGAAATGTAAGTATTTTTTTTCTGCCGCTGTCGGATAAACTCTTGAGTATGACATCTTATATGTATCAGTGCTTGTAGTAGTGTCGTGTATAATTACATGCCTTGGTCATGGTTTATAGTTCTTGGACGGGTTGCCATAAAACCAGTGGCGTAACGGGAGGGTGTCAGGGTGTCCAGAGACGGGGGGCTCCCGAACTTTAGGGGCCCCCAACAAAAATGACCTTAAAAAATTTGATAAACACATTTCTGGGGAATTAATTGAATCGAATTGAATAAAAAAAAACCATTCTCTGGAAAAGGCAAAATCCGTCGAGAAATTTCCCGAAGCTGCGACGGACGTCGCGGCTGAGGTAAAGGACGAGATACTAGAATGAATTAATTGCAATTTCATTGGGTATGTCCGGAAAAAATTTTGGACCCCTAAACTGGTACAATGTCCGAAAATTTTTTGGCGACGGGGGGGGAGGTCGCCAAAAATAAATTGTTCCGAGAAAAATTTTTGGAGCCTATTTTTAGTGTAGCAAAGGGGCCCAAAGTGGCCGATTGACGGAGGGCCCCCAGCGATTGCGTTACGCCACTGCATAAAACGCTTTTAAGCGTTTTATAACTACGTTTTAACCACTATTTTGCAGTTAAATTAATAGTAGTTAACTCTAAAATATAATATTTTGATTGGTTGACTTTCGCCTTAACTGTAGTTAACTCGTTTGAAGGGAGCTTTATGTTTGTGAGAAGGTTCAGATCAGTACTGATATAGCGTGACGATGATCGCGGTTTGTTTCAAACTGGGCTTACATAGTACAATGAACAACAGCTGTCAACTTGCATGGATGATTTTCTATATGCAATGCAACGACGTACGGTGTTGGGGGTGTGGCCCCCTAAAAACACCTTGGCGGCAAAATGAAGGATCTTGTCGGTGATTTTTACATTGTTCATGCATCTAATCAAATTTGACCTGCCTCTCCCCCCCGCCCGTCGCACATATTTCGGATAATTTGTCGGCAAAATTGTAACATTTGTTTGCAAATACAATACAACACCCCTTGCTTAAGCCCCCGTCGCGACGACCCGGATGCTATGCTATGCTTTACTACGCTATACTACACACGCAAAAACGCACAAGTTGTAACAAGTCTGCAAACAAGTTGTTACACGTCCGTTCACAAGCTGTGAACAAGTTATGCTCGCACTGCTTGTTCCCAGTTTGTATTCTATTAACTGTGGTTTGTTGTAACAAGTTTGAAACAAGCTGTTAACAACTTGTAACAAGCTTGATGGCATTATCAGCCTTGTTACAAGATTGTGCTAACAAGTTTGTTACAGCCATGATATAACAAGGATGTTTCAGAACAACCTTGCAACAAGTCTGATGATTTCGACAAGGTTGTTACAAGGTGTCAACAAGTAGTTCCAAACCTGTTGACAACTTGTGACAAGCAGTGCGAATACATCTTGTTAACAGCTTGTGAACAGACTTGTAACAAACTTGTGCGTTTTTACGTGTGTATCCAATGCCATGTTAAGCGCCTATGCTATGTTATGTCATATGTGCATAAGTTGATTTAAGACATATTTTCCTTTTAAACATAAAATAAGATTTCTTCAACCTAAGATCCACCTGACAGTTACTAAGACTTACTAAGGCAACATTTGCTTCTCTTTTTCTGGATCAACGTATTTTAATACGTTGATCCAGAAAAAGAGAAGCAAATGTTGCCTTAGTAACTCAATCTGTCTACGCTTTCGGTACTTGTACGAGTATTTTAAACCTGCCGGTCCACTGTGGTTAAAGACTTAAAGTTACAATAAGCTGCCCGCCACAGTTGAACCTCAACTACCTAACAAAGCTTAAGTATAGTGCTTTGCTTAGGAAACGATCATTTAGCCTCCTTCCTGTAAATTGTATTTATTCCCTTCTAGCTAACAATGCTCGCACTCAAGCTGTCGTTTCTCCTTCTTGTGCTGGCTTCAGAAAATGTTGCCATAGTAGCTGGAAGCCCTCTACCATGGTTTTTACCAGGTAATGATGCAAGTGATAACAGTGGTGGTTTTTACCAGGTAATGATGCAAGTGATAACAGCGGTCAGTACATGTGCCTTCCACCTCTGTCACCAACAAACCATTCCCGCAGTTGTCTCTACCATATATTATTTGGGGGTACTCGGTTTCCACCTGTAGTAATACTTGATTGATAAGAGAAGATCTTTATTGGACCTCTTGGAAGAACAGTTTAGAACTGATAGAGCTATCCAGCCAATAAAGTTAGTTTAGTTTAATTAAGTTTCTTCTTGTAGTTACACTGCATCAATGAGAAATGACCATTGCAGATGGGCCTTATGGATCCCTGGGGAGAACAGTATAGAACTAATAGAGCTATACAATATAAATAATGTTAAAAATAATCATAAAAATTTACCTATCTATAGGTCCATGTGACAGTGATCCATGTAAAAATAGCGGGAAATGTACAGTGGTTCCCTTTAGTTACACGTGCGCATGCGCTGACGGTTGGAAAGGAAGCATCTGTACTGTCAAAGGTAAACCTTACTTTCTCTGCTACTACCTTTACCTTGCCATGTTTACTTTGAGCATCAGCAGTTTATGCCGATAAGTCCTGGGAACGAGGATGGCTATAGATAGGATCTCAGAAAATGCAAGAAAACGTGAAGTAGTTTCTAAAGCGCATAATCTTGAATTGGGAGGCTTCAGCACCGGTAACAATTTTCACAGGCATGTATTACGAAGAAACGAAGTATTTGCGTTGATATGTTTTTATAGAAAAATTTTCCCTCGCAAACTAACTGCTCAACTTCTGCGAAATAGCAGTTCTCTGAGAAGCCAATCAGATCTCTTCCTTTAGTCGTCTAACCCAGAACCTAATTTTCAACAAATGACCGAATGAAAATGGCTCTGTGGACGAGAATGAACGCTTCTATGATGTAAGCCCATGTAGAAAGAAGACCATTTTTCTTACGCGCAGTTGTGTAAGAAACGTGTACTAGTGATTGGCAAGCAAAGAAGCAACTAACTCTCCATAAATTTCTAATCTGTTTGCCTAGTAAAATCCATCTTATCATTCTCCATAATATTCACCATAATGTTCACCATATTCATCGTAAAATTCTCCAGATTCGGGTATTTCTCTCCTTATAGTAAAACCATGTGAATCGTCTCCGTGCAAAAATGGAGCTACCTGTACGGACAAAGATGATACTTTTGAATGTGCTTGCGAAGATGGCTACCTCGGTGAAACATGCTCGCCTGAGAGAAGTATGTTGTTTTTGTTTATTTGGTCGAGAAAAATTTAAGATTTCACTTATATTGACCTCTAGGGAGAACCATTTAGGACTGATAGAGCTGTCCTGTGTAAATAAAGCTAGTTTAGTTTGACTCACCTCCTAGGAGACTATCCTCTAGAGATATCCAGTAGCAATAAACTTGACAAAATTGTTTATTTGACAAAATCGGCTAACGTTGTTTACCGTTTACCCGTAATACTCGTTACATAGGGGGATTTAACATCCAATAGGGGAATGCCGTTTATATTCCGTGCTTCCATTCTAAGAATTGTGCGTTCGCTCTGTTGACGTTTTGCTACGCCCGTCATTTGAATTTGCGGTGTCGCTAATAAGGTAGCTAAAGCTAGAAGATCACAATGAAATTTTCAAAATAAGTTGGTGCTAAGAATATTTTAAATACACAATGAAATAGTAAAAAATGCGAGGAAATGACTACGCAGTATATCGCGTTGGTGATTTACTAGTAGAATTCTCGCCTGCCACGCGGGAGACCGGGGTTCGATTCGCAGCCGAGGCAGAGTATTTTACGTCTCCCATGATCGTTTAAAGAATTTAGTGAAAAATTGGCATCATCCACATGGACAGAAATTGGAGTTCCTCCAGCACATGTCCCATGTGGTGGTCTTACACGTCCCCTATGGAAACCATCAAAAGATGTTAGGGCTAACGTGTTTAAATAAATTTTTATGTATGTATATGTATGTATAGTGGTTAGGATCTGGCGTTTTCACCTACATGACCCGGGTTCGATTCCCGACATGGGAATGCTTCAGTTTGAAAAGACTTTTACATTTAGCGGTTGTTGCAATTTTGGTTGACGGAATTCCCATGTGGTCTAGTGGTGACGCTCTCTCCGCCATGGCCCGTGTTCAATTCCCAACATTGGAATATTCAAAATTCCTATAGGGGAATAAATTCCGTGCTTCCATTCTAAGAATTGTGCGCTCGCTCTGTTGACGAGTTTGAATTTGCAGAGTAAGTACATACAGAGGACCTGTTTTTCAATCCGCCAAGTTCTTAGCAAGTGCCCTAAAGCGTCACCTGAAAACATATTGAAATCTAATATTCCAGGGGGGTGAATGTCTCTCTTTGGGGCACTTGTTAAGAACATGGTCGCCAGATATGCGCAGTAAAACTACCTTACGGTTTTCCCGCAGAAGTGAGAACTCTGTGTGCACTTACTCTGTGATAAAATCCTGTAATTGTCATTTTCATTTTAGTCCAATGTGAAAATCCGCTGGACCTTTTGTTCGTTGTCGATGCATCGAGTTGGCAAATTACAGGCGACTTCACTCACGTCACAGATTATATGTCTGACCTCATAGACTGGCTAAAAATATCTGATCTTGCTGTTAAAGCTGGAGTGATAGCGTTTAGTTATAAAGCCGACACAAGAGTGATATTTTTGCCTGACGCGTATTCTGATGCCAGTCAGCTAAAAAACGCAATCGGCAACTTGAAGAAGAATGGTCCAAAAATATTTTATGGTCATGAAGGGTACACCGCGAAGGCCTTGAAACTGGCGAATGACGAGGTAGGCTTACTTGGTAATAATAATAATAATAATAATAATAATAATAATAATAATAATAATAATAATAATAATAATAATAATAATAATAATAATAATAATAATAATAATAATAATAATAATAATAATAATAATAATAATAATAATAATAATAATAATTGTCATTTTATATAGCGCCATTTCCAAAAGTTCAATAGCGCTTTACATAGATAAAGAAATTAAGTGATAAAACACCCATTAGCTATAAAAACATATAAAACCAAACAATTCAAACCTAATTACTAAAACTAAGATTAAAAAGCCATGTCTTAACATATTTCTTAAAAGTACTATACGAGTCTATCTTCCTCAATTCAAAAGGCATTGAGTTCCATAAGGTAGGTGCCGAGATGGAGAAGGAGCGTGCCCCAAACGTCTTTAGACTAAATTTTGACAAAGAAGACTTTGGTCAGCTGAACGAAGGGTCCTGGTGGGAACATAGGGTGTAACTAGTTCACAAATATAAGGTGGCATCAGATAGGGTTAGGATTAGGGTTAGGGTTAGGGAAATTTCCTAATTTTCAAAATATTGCTATATGAAAAAAACGCCGCTTTGCAGATGGAACTGACATGGGGTCCAAAGGAAAGATATTCGTTAAAAAGAACCTCAATATTCTTTACCATCGACGAACATACAAATTTGATCAGAAACTCGAAGACCATCAATCAAAGGACGTGGACGATAAGGAGACGAAATTACAATAACTTCAGTTTTCTCATTATTCATCTTAAGTTTGTTGCAGATCATCCATGTTTCGATTTTAGCGACACACCTCTCAATACTAAATATATATAGCAGAGTTTGCGTCTTCACCAGATGATGAAGTGAAGAGTAACATAGAGTTGGGTGTCATCCGCATAGAAATGGAACTTCAAATTGTGTTTTTCGGCAATGTCCGGAAAACAATCTCTTCTCCGCAGAGGCGTTTTAATAAAACAAACGTGGGCTATACTCCTTAAATGCCAAGCAAGCGGATAAATAATGAATGCGCGCCCTTGCTGTCCCGAGTGCTTTCACCAACATGTTTTTCCGATATACAGTCCGCGTATAAAACTTTAAAACCGTAAAAACGCCTCTTTCTCAGCTCAAAACAAAGCGTCAAGAGATTTGATTACTGTAATAAATGTTTGAAGCTTTTCCAAATAACCCAACAAACAGCTGAGTTCGGAAAAAGCGATGTCGTGTCTACTATAAACTAGACTTGAAGTAATACTCTTACGTCGCAAATCAAAACTTTTCTGTTGCTGGAAAGATGTAATAGATGCCATGGGATAACAAATCATTCATCAGATTTGTGTCTGTCATGAAGAATTTTTCATATTTCATATTTTGTCCAGGTTTTCAAGACAGCAGACCAACATCCCAACGCAGCAAAAGCAATTGTTCTTCTAACTCCACAAGTTCCTTTAGACAGCAAGTCGGACGCAATTGAAGAAGCTAAAGAGCTCAGAGCCAAAGGAGTTAAAATTGTTTCTATCGATTTGGTGAATGTCTTTAAAGCTTTTTTTAAAGATCAATCTGTGTGTAACGAGCTAACCAAGATATCCAGTCCACTCAAGCCTATTGCCTCAGCTTATGATAAATTGGATGAGCATGTTCGAGAGGTCACTAACCTGTTGTGTTCGTGTAAGTTCACTTTTAACTTGGTGGTGACAGAAGTAGTGGTGATGATGATGTTGATGGCGCTGGTGATGATGGTGATGATGATGATGGTGGTGATTGTGGTGATATTCGTGAGTTCATTCAATTATTAAAAGGCAAATTATATTTTGAATTTCTCCAGTCACGAAGGATCCCTGTGAAGATATGGATTGTGGAAAGAGAAAGATCTGTTCTTATGATCGCGATACAGCTTCATGTATATGTAACAAAACGAATTGTGAAGGTAATAATTTTAATCGCTTCTAGTTTTAGGCCGGCAGCTGTTTTATGACATGCAATTGATGATTCTCCTTATTACGTTTTCGTAGCGCTTTGCATTGTGGTTATAGTGGTATCACTGATAGAGATAGCGGCCTCGAATGAAAATATTGAATGTTTTCGCGAATATTTTGCTGTTGGCTATCGCGCACCTGACCCTAGCTTTTTTTAAAAGTTCTTGCACGGGTCAGGACAAAAATAAGCCGTCTTGTATATCAGTGATACCACTATAACCACAATGCAAAGCGCTACGAAAACGTAATGAGGGGAATCTAGTATTGGTGGGTTTCAGTGAGTGTTACAGCGCAGCTGGCGATGGTGGTGAACTTTAGAAATGTTGATATTTATAGAAGAAAACAAACTAAACTATATTTCTAACGTTTACCTATTTTCCTCTGAATACAACACCATCACATAATTTTATAATGAGAAGAACTAACTCTATTTTTTCACTCGGATAACTGATAAGTTATCTTTTGAGTATTTTTGCAAAATTGGTTCTTTATTTAGCCCAACCTTGTGATGAGACGCCGTGTAAAAACGATGGAGAATGTGAAAATGTGGATAAAGAAACGTTTAAATGTAACTGCACTGAAGCCTGGACAGGTGAAACCTGCCAAGAAAAAGGTGAATTTTCTTTTTCAAATGTAGCAAATAGAATCAACTAGCTTTATTTATACTAGACAGCTCCATCAGTTCTGGATTGGTTTCTCTCAAGATCTGAATGAATGAACGAATGAATGAATGAAATATTTATTTAAAACAGGGTAGTTCTGTCAGGTGCTGAATGCACCTGTTATCAGTAGAGCCCCTGACCTAAATAAAGATTTAAATATTATTTAAAAATACGACTACTAGCTGTTATAACTATCAATAAAATTTATAGTTAAAATCTACATTACTGGTCAACAAAGTTAAAATGTTATTTAAGATATGGCTTTATTATAAGTTAAGCATCCATTATAATAAAAAGAATGCTTTGCTATTTGCTATGATCATCCCCCATTGACCCAGTGTTACGACAGTAGAAACCCAGCGATGTTTGGTGGATTCACACCGAAAACATTCTTCTCATATGCAACTATGACGAAATAAGAATTAAGAAGAAGACAATAGCATATTACAGGAAAAGATAACCAGTCCATTGATATGTAACATGTAATTTTTTTGAGAAATAACAAACGTACGTCTTGGTTACTGAGTTTATTTCAGTTAAGGAAAAGCTTCAAAGCAATTCTCCAACAGGTTGGTTATAAATGTGGAGATATTATTCCAGAAAGCGTGTCTAGATGAAAAGAAGTTTTAGTTTCAAAAGCTTTGAAACAAACGAACATGCAGAAATGCAGAAACCAAAATAGCAGATTAAACTCTATAACATATAAGCACTACCGTAGGGAACAATTTTGTATGGGGGGTGGGCTTATTAGTCAGGGGCGATTATTAGGTCATTATTTCCCTCTCAAACTTTACAGATTATCGCTAGTTTACAAATTATTGGGGAGCTGAAGCCCCCCCCCCCCGGTTGCCACGGCCCTGATAAGGGTAGCGCTAATCCAGCTATGAAAACCAAGTTCTTCACCAGCTCGGATGGTCACGACAAGTGTGATGTCAATTTTCTCATCTATTAGATATTTATATTGTCAGAGAAATGTTAAATTTGAACCACAATGTTAGAAAACTATTCAAAAGGTCAATTAAATGAATAACTATATATCACCATTCAACACAATTTATTTCATTGTCTTTTCCTATCGTTTTTTTCTTCTATACCTACGCAAAATGTTCAGTTACAAACAAAACAAAATTTACTTTTCAATTAATAAAGGCAAGGTAACCTGGTCAGTGAAATCCCCATGCAATCCTGTGATATGTGGTAACAAGATACCCACTACACCCCAACCTCCATCACCCACACCAGCACCCCCAGTACAACCACTATCACCCACACTTTCCCCTCTCACACAACCCCCATCACCCACACCTGCACCTCCAGTACAACTACCATCACCCGCACCTGCACCTCCAGTACAACTACCATCACCCACACCTGCACCTCCAGTACAACTACCATCACCCACACCTGCACTTCCAGTACAATTACCATCATCCACACCTGCACCTCCAGTACAACTACCACCCACGCCTGTTGCACCCCCCACACAACCAGGAGAATGTAAGTAAAGCAAGTAGTAAAGACAGAAAAGCTTTTGTGCGATTATCAATTAGTATATAATGTAATGATAACTAACTTATTGCAATGAAAATTGTGAGTGAAAAAGCGTCAATCAGGCCTGCATTTTGATGTAGTCACTAGCTCCCAACCCAACATCATGACTAAAATGTGAACCACAGGTGGCCGGAGATTTGTTTGGATTGGAGGACTAATACTGACTAAAAATATTCTAGGGGTCCGCAAGCATGCCCCAGCAGAAAATTTTGCAATTTTAGGTCTCTGGAATGCCATTTCCTGCCGTCTCGTGGAAGACTTTATATGTAGAAACTATATATATCAGTTTGTTAGTTTTACATTTGAACTTGATCTTGATACGATTCGGTTGTTTCGTCGCCTATGATGTGAACAACCTGAACTCTGCTTGCATCATACACTGTTCTAATCAACGTAACTAGTTCATGTGGTTTAACTTAACATTTCGTCCAGTATATATTCATATTGTATTATTGTTGTGTTGTTTTATTGCCTGGCTTAGCGACTGGTAGACCAACACGTACAACACTCTCACTCTCCATAATATCAAAGCTTTTATGACTTACTTGAGTTTCATTATCCAAACCAAACTGTCATGCTAGCAGTCTGGAGGTCAGTCAAATTTAGTGTGGGAATCAGGATTTTTTCCTGTGTTTGAATAGTTTGTACAAGCAAAACAAAGAAACTATACTTGTATGTTGAGAAATTATTTCTGCAATACTTTAATACTTTTCTAGTATCATGTCCAACAGTTGTTGAGAAGAAAGGATGTTTTAAAGAAGATCAAAAGCCTCCACGTCTTCTTCCCAATTACATTTTAACAGATCGTGATAGCAGTTTAAAGATCTATAGTGGCCAGGGGGTTGATTGGCGAAACTGGGTTAACTATCTACCTGATTTGGTGTGTCGCTGTGCTCAGCTTGCTAAATCTAAAAAATTCAAATTCTTTGGAATACAATATTATGGTATGTGCTAGATTTTCAGAGCTAAATCTAAATAGCTTTGTTTTTCATTCTTGATTTCATAAGATTTTCAGGAACATGAGATCTTCTCATTATTAATCACTGTTCTTATTCACTTGTTTTTTTCATCTCCATCTCTTCCTTCTGACTTTCATTACTTCATTTGATCGCAAAGTCGCATTCAAGTCGTGAACTTCACGTCATCAAGGATCATGAACTTTCATGATGTTCATACAACTTTTGTCTCTTAAACGTTTTATGGTCCGTTTTGTTCTCATTTCCTCCGTTTTGTTCTTGTGTTTATAACCTCGAGACGATATTTGTCTCATATAATAATTTCTAATAGGTTAGTGGCATATAACTTATTTTATGTTCTCGCCTGGTTATTCTACATCCTTCTTTATATATAAACCTCAAAACTCTCTCAGAATATTTTCTGCAAGTCACGAGAAATATCAACCGTTCTACTTTACCAGGAGAATGTTGGTCTGGTCCCGCACAAGATGAAAGTTCATTCAAAGAAGACGGAAGCTCAACGGAATGTGTCAACACGGACTGGAAAGAATGCTCGGATCAATCCAAATTTGCTTGTGCTGGAAAACAGTTCAATAATTACGTTTACGCTATTGTTTCATAGATTTTTGTAAACTGTTGCATGTTGACTGCACTTCACGTGACCTTCTTTTGAGGTATGCGATTTTAGAACAAGAGATACTTTGTACCGTGCGCTAAGACACGTTTTCAGAGTTTGGTTTATATCTTCTTATATGTTAGACTGAATAAAAGAAACCCTACATAAACAGTGCCATGTCTTGACTTGAGAGGTTGAGAGCAAAGCAACGACGCGATAGCGCTAGGGAAGTCCGGGGGTCTGCTCTCCCGCTGAAATTTTGAAATTCTAGGATTTCTAGAATATATTCCGCATTCTCGGACGAACTTTGAAGAAAAACTATAACCACGACAAAGACATCATTATCAAAATTTTGTTGGCATCTCACTCGATTGAATAATAGTGGAGAGTTTTGCAGATGGGAATTATCGAGTGGAAATTCTACATATAATTTTATATATATATATATATATATATATATATATATATATATATATATATATATATATATATATATATATATATATATAATTTCCACTCGATAATTTCCATCTACAAAATTAGCCATTCCGAAGTTGATGAGTGGACTGGGGACGAGTGTTAAAAAGTGCCCAAATTAAGAAATGAACCAAATCACTAAAAAGACCACCTCAAAATTAGTAAGTATACAAAGTTTGAAGACGTTAATTTACATGAATACCCTTCGAGTAATAAACTTTCGAAAATTGTGAAATTACTGATTAAAAGATTGCTTTTGGAACGCGCGTCCCCAAAAACAAAAATTACAATACATTTCATAGTAAATATAGCGATTTTCGAAAGCTTATTATTCGAAGGGTATTCATGTAAACGTCTTCAAACTTTGTACACTTACTAATTTTGAGGTGGTCTTTTTGGTAATTTGGTTCATTTCTTAATTTGGGCACTTTTTAACACTCGTCTCCAGTCCTCTCATCAACTTCGGAATGGCTAATTCTCCAACTATATTATTATTCAATCGAGTGAGATTCCAACAAAATCTTGATACTTGACCCATACCTTAACATGACAGTACCGTAGTACATATACATGAACTTATGGTTACAACTGTCCTCTGTAGCTCAGTTGGTTAGAGCACTGCACCGGAATCGCAGGGCCGCAGGTTCAATTCCTGTCAGGGACCTATAGTTGCATTTTTCGCAACTGTTCCTGGTTAGGTCTAATAAATGTATATAAATTTCCACTCGATAATTTCATCTACAAAACCTTTCATGTTTTATGTACTATTCAAAACATGAGCAGTAGTGTTTCATCAGATATAAAATATTAAAATACGAGGTGAAGCCGAGTCATTGGCGAAGTAATTTATAAAAAATACGTTGTGCAAGTCGAGAAAATCAAAGTTAAAGTTTATGTATATCAAGGAAAATCTCTAAATAGTACAAAGATACGACACGCTTATGATTTCTCTTTGTGTTTTTCTCATGAATTATTAATGGTTGTTAGGAACATTACTTCAGACATTGCAGCTCCAATCCCATTTTTTTAGTCCCGATTCGGCATTTGGCAAGAACAGTTCTGGAGGTAATTTGCTTCGCTATATGCCACTGATTGTTAAGTAAATTATGTACTATATTCAAAACATGAGCAGCAGTGTTTTATCAGATATAAAGATACGAGGCGAAGCCGAGTATCTTTAGGTCTGATAAAAGCACGCACTGCGAATGTTTTAAATTGCTTCAGAAACGATCGATCTAGTAAGTTCATTGGCGAAGAAATGTTCAAAAAATACATTGCGTAAGTCGAGAAAATCAAAGTTAAATTTATGGAAATCAAGGGAAATCTCTATCACATATAAAAATACGACACGTTTATGATTTTTCTTTGTGTTTTCCTCATGAATTATTAATGAGTTTTTGAATGTCATGTATAATATGATCACGTACATATTAGAATGGAAAATACTATCGGCAGACTAATATTAATGGTGTTTGAGTCAAACTATTCATCTAAATTGTATCTTGGTTTAAAAACTTTAAATTATGGTTTTTTATTTACTTTATACTTATGTATTTATTTTATAGACGGAAAATAGCAATTAGAACACGATGTCTTCTTCTACGTATATCCAGCATGACTTGGCCTCTCAATGCGATCTTTTGCTAAACGAAGCCTCCAATTTCGGTAAAAAATATTCACAGGTGATTTTATGAGCAAACGAATATGTTTTCTTTTCATGGGGGCAGTTCGAAAGATGTTGCACTTTCTTGAATTTTTGCATGGTGACATGGTCGTGGTGGTTGTTTCAGGTCTATCAGTGGGTATTGGTGGTGGAATGGTAGATGGTGGTTTATGTGTGGGTCTTACTGGTTGTGATGTAGTTGGTACAGTCGATGTGGTAGATGGTATATGTGTTGGTGTTACTGTTTGTGATGTTGATGATTTATCTGTGGTTTCTAATGGTGAAGACGAAATCTTAGATGGTGATGTAATTGGTAAAGTTGATGTTGTTGATGGTAATGGTGAGGATTGTGGTAACAAAGATGGTGACGGGGTTGTTGATGATGGTGGTGGTGGTAGTAGCTTTGATGGTGATAATTGTGGTGAGAATGATACTGATAGTAATGATGATGATAGAATGTTAACTGACTGATAAGGCGAAGAGGGTCTTGACTCAGATGTAGATTTAATTACAGATGGTACGGTACTTGATGTTATTGGAATTACTGGTATTAATGAACTAGTTAGAATTGTGGACAGAAATTGGATAGTTGGTGGATTTGAACTTGCACGTGGTTTAGTTGTCGACTCGGAGCCATGGGAAGAACATTGGCATTGTGGTTTCATTGGACACGGACAGTTTGGTTGCGTTGATGGACAAATACATGGTGGAGCTGGTATTGGGCAAACACAGTTAACTGGTCGTTGTTGTGGTGTCGTTTTTGAAGGGCTAGTTATTGGTATCACCCTTGTTGGTTTAAGGACCTGGGTAGAACATTGGCATTGTGGTTGCATTGGACACGGACAGTTTGGTTGCGTTGATGGACAAACACATGGTGGAGCTGGTATTGGGCAAACGCAGTCAACTGGTCGTTGTTGTGGTTTGGTTGTTCTTGAAGCACTAGGTATGTGTGTTGGTTTAAATATCTGGGTAGAACTACATTGGCATTGTGGTTGAATAGGACAGGGACAATTTGATTGGTTTGGTGAGCAAACACATGGATTTTGTTGAGGACAGATGCATTCTGGATGCTGTTGTGTGGTAGTGGCTGGTGTAAGGCGAGGACTTGCAGAACATTGGCAATTAGGTCGTGGCTTGGAGCAAACACAGTAAGGTGGTTGACGTCCGTTTATTTTAACTGCTTGGGTAACTGATACTGATGTTATGTGTGTTGTTGTTCCTGGTTGTCTGCATGCAGTTTGTGGAGGGCAAACACAGTGAATGTGTTGTCCGGGAGAGCAAGTACATGTAGGTTTTGATGGGCAAACATGTTGAACTTGAGGTTGCGGAGGTAGGTTTACTTGCGATGGAGGGACGCCTGGCATTAACTCTGGTGGAATTTGTGGTGGATGTGGTAAAGTGGGTGGTATGTCAAGCTTAAATTTTGGTGGTGGATTTGGCGTACATTGACAGCAAAGACAGGGATGTTGAGAAGTAGGTAAACATGTACAAGGCCTGGGACAAATGTATTTACAGCCTGGTTCGAACTTGATTCCGTTTAGATGCAACAACATATGGCAAGGTTTATTGAGGCAGAACCTGATTATGTGCTTTTCTTTGAGCATTCCTTTTGGTGCAACTGGGTTGTAATCTAAAGAGGAAAATAATTAATCTCCCAATGTACAAATTGCGTCACAAATACGTCAAGCGACGCTGGACCAATGAAGATAGTAATGGTCATTGAAACATTCCGAAAGCGTAACAAGATGCCACTATTGTTGTACAAACGTCCATTTTACTTGAATACGTGGCATATCATGCAATGTTTACGGGGAGGAGTTCACACAACCAAATAGTATGGAAAATAACTTTATCAAGAACGGTGTAACCACAGTCAAAGAAATTTCGTTTTGACAGACGTGAATTTCTGATCTGAATCGTATTGTATGTGTTGAGACAACTATTATAGTCTAGGATAACTATATAAAAATAGATTGTTTACCAGAAGTAAGTATTCAACCTCAGGCTACCACTTTACTTTGTAAATACAAACAGGAAAAGCGATCTTGTAATTGCCCTGTAAAAATCCATGCAATACTGTAAAACAAATAACATGTTTAAGTAATACTCACCCGCTAAAACGTTGGATGTGAAAACAAAGCAAACAATGAAGAATTGAGTTTCTATATTTGTACTCATTTTGAAATCATCGAATATTTTTATTCAATATTGAACAAATTCCTTTGTGATTGCACTCAGAGAAAGGACTATGATATGATTTAGAGATATAATGTATGCAAGAAGTGCGGGTAAAAAGCAAGTCACTGATCCTGAACATTGATAAGCATTTGTAAAACAGAAGCAGGAAGACTCGAGACAAACTACTTTATTATAAAAATATAAGGAAACGCCATTGACAAAGTATATTGCCATAACATTTATTCCACTTGGAAATGTTTGTGTTTTGCAAGTAACAAATGAAGAGACTTATTACGATTTGCCGCCTTGAAAATGACATGGTGTAAAAGATAGTGTAGAAAATATTGCTAAAATAGGTAAGTAGCCATCGTTGTTGAAATACCGCAATTTGTGCGACTTCCTTTCAAAGATTTTCTCTCTTTATTTAAATTCGTTTTGAAATTTATTTTTATTGACGAAAAACCTTGAACTGATATAAGTTGTATTTTCTAGTCATATCAGTTTTACACAAAGTATTTTGAAGAAAGGGATCTGGCTTTGTTCGTGTTACCGTTAAACCTTTTTTATTAATAGCATGAAATTCTCATGACCGGCCGTTATGCAAATACATAGTCTCGAGTGTAAAATTTCCCGTTATACAACTTATACTGTGCCACCATACCTGCGTTAAGCCCATTTTCCACTAGGCGAATTTGTTCGCGCGAAGCGAAAAACAAATCTTGGCAATGTGATTGGTCAGCGAAAAAATTCGCCGCGAAAATATTGGACCAGTTCCTACTTTTTTACTGTTCGCGCGAACAAATTCGCCTGGTGGAAAATGGGCTTAACGCAGGTATGGTGGCACAGTATAAGTTGTATAACGGGAAATTTTACACTCGAGACTATGTATTTGCATAACGGCCGGTCATGAGAATTTCATGCTATTAATAAAAAAGGTTTAACGGTAACACGAACAAAGCAACGTATATATGCAAATACAACGTCAACGTCAATGAAAACGTGATCATCAACAAAAGATTTTTACTCTAAGCATTCTAATACGCCGTAGTTCAAACTGCTACGTTATTTTCATCATTTCGACGGCTCATAACCACGCCAACAGTTAAAACCTTCAAGTCGTGTGGGGCGTTTTATGTGAATTCACTGACTATTGCTACTAAAAGGTTGTTTAAGAGAAAGATACGTGACTTTAACGAAGATCGAAAATCAAATTTAGTAATGTATGTTTTAGCTCGCGTACAAAAATGTAAGTAATTCTGCCGTTGCTGTTGTCTATTATAAGAACAAAGAATGCAAAATTGAAAATGATATTGTCAATGCAGGTACCTCTGTTCCCTATCTTATCACTATGCATGCACTCCAACCACTGATCACGCATTATCTTCTACTTTGGAACAGGATTTTGAAAGAAAACACAAACAAATGCACTTCATAACCCGGCAAAGAACCTTCCGTACTGTGTTGCTTGTTCTGACTTTGTGTGAAGCTTTGTCAGGTAAGATATTGCTGTTATACCTGATCAATACAAACTGTGTACCGAACTTCATTTGACATTTGGAAGTTGTGTAGATATTTTGTTCAAAGAAAGAAGAATTACAAACAAGGATAATTATTTGTCCAACTCATCCAATATGGCGCGACGATGTTCATTTCACATTTTAAACTTTACCAAAAATTATGGCTGTTGAATATATAAGTTCAATATGCTGTATTTTGCAACATTGAAGTTGAATGTCGTTATATGGTATGGCGTGTATTTGTGCGAGGGGCAAATCACTGATTTACTAGTAAATGACGTACACCTTCAGAAAAATCATAAAAAAAAATCACGAAAAAAAAAAATCACGTGATTTTTTTATCTCGCACACTTTTTTGAAATGATTTGCCCCTTGTATTTGTGCACGTGCAATATAGGATATTGCAAACTTTGCAACACAAATGCTCGATAATTCCTGTTCTATCCAGGCGATAATTCTATTTCGATAATTCTATTTCGATAATTCCTGTTCTAGATCAATCAAGACTTTCCAAATTTTCAAATCAAAAAAGAAATATACAGTCACAGAAAGAGACGAAGGTTTTAAAGACCAAACAGCAAGTAAGTCAATCTCGTACCCAGAACATAGCCTCGTAGTAAGGCGCTTTGAATAGCGCGCTACGCAGTTGCATGAAAAGCACGTGGGACGACACGCGTGGGAAAGAATGGAGAATTCGACTAGAAGTCAATTTTAATTCAGCCACAATTTCCACGCGCGCGTCAGGGGAAGGCGCAGGACACCGAAACGCATGGGTACGAGGCTGATAAAAACACCATATCTTCGATACGCAGATTAGTAGTTACGGAAATGCCTCCATTTCTCAGTGACCTTGATTCCAAAGGTATGAGTCCCCACGGTTCTTTTTATTATAATTTATCCCCCCTCCCGCCAGTCGGCACGGCCCTGAATTTATCAGATCTGTATTCTTCATCCTCCAGGACATTTTTACTCTTCTAAATACCATATGTGACGAAAAAAGTAACTTTGCTTCTTGTCTTCTCGTCCTAGATGCAGAAATGGCAGAATAGGCTGTTTGTAAATAGTAAGATGGAACAATCCATTGGTCAAAAACGAGCACTGACGATTGTTAGGTAAGTAGTGATACATACGCCTAGCGGAGGTACGTTTCATCTCAGCTACCCATATCACAGAATAAGAAGGTACAACAGAAGCGTCACTCAAGCAAATATTTGTCCGCGTTTTTACAAGCGATTCGTCGTCAATCACGCCATCCTGGCTAGTACAACCGGCACTTTGTACCTACCAAAACCTGA